TTCAATATAAAAAATAAAAAAATTATTTAGTTTCGGTTCTTATTCGGTTCTTCGGTTCTTGGTCTAGACCCGAGACCCGACCCAAACCCATCGGTTCTCGATTCGGGTACCCGTTCGGGTATTTAATTTTTGAAGAACCGCTCGGTTCGGGTTCGGGTTCGGTTCGGTCCGGTTCGGTTCGGGACTTTTGGACACCCCTAACCACACATTCTATCAATAAAATAATATTAAACATAAACCTAAAAATTCTCCTTACTTTTTAACCACACATTCTTCCATCAATCACTATTTAAAAACACATTCTTTCACAAAAATAGGTGTCAAACACCCCTTAAATTTCAAATTCAAATCATTCCCTCTCTACTCTCTATCCTCTCCATACCTCTTTTACTCCTGCGACTGTTCCGACGATCACTTCGACGGCATCTCCGACGACTATTTCGGCGATCACTCCGACGACCTCTCTGGCGACTGTTCCGGCGATCGCTTCGGCGGGCGCTCCGATGACAATTCTGACCGCTCCAATAACCACTCCAACACATACTCCGATCAACCTACTCACCACATCCATCCACTCCCCATTTCCAAAAAAATTCCAGAATTTCAAGTCACAATTGGTCACAACGAGTCACAATTAACCAATCACAATCGGTCACAAACAGTCACAATCGGTCACAATTAACATTCCTGCGTGCACTTTCGCCAGAGAAACTTGCATGCCGCACATAGAGAATTTGACGATGACTTTTTCCTCTCCTTCACTACAACTGAACACATCATTAATCATACAAATCATCAATTAATTGAACTTTAACAAGCCTTTGAAATCTAAAATATACACAAACTTTTGGATAAAGTGTTTTTTTTTACTGAGTTGTGCGTATCCACAAATAAAAATACTGGAGCAAGATGAAAATGTGAATGTTTAATGCAATCGATAAGAGAAGAACTTAGAAGCAATTAAATCTTAGTATATAGAAGCCGACATAGGTAGTCAATGAATTCATATAAAATCAAGGCAGTGATTTTTATATATAAAGAAGCCAAATTCAGACTAAGGAAAATTAAAAATAGAAAAGCAGAACAGAAATAAAGAAAAAAAAGTTCATATGAAAGAAAGAGAACTGTGGTAACCGTGAGAAAGTGATTGCTGAAATGTGTCTACGAGAAGTTTTTTTTTTCTCTTTCTAAAACTTCATCAACTTGGAATGCAAGAAACTGCATGTTGTAGTGAATAATTTTCTAGATCCAAAAGGTTCAAGACAAAAAATCTAAGACTAGAAAACCTTTTGTTTACTATAAATTCAAACGTCAAAATCTGCCACCGTAAGCTCTGTCACCTGCATTTTATTCATCTACGACATCGATCGATCTACAACAACTAAAAACACCGTCATCTCCGTCGGTGTCGCCGCGAGATCCGCCACCATCATCACGACCAACCACCCATCAGAAGATCGACACTACCGCCAGTAACACCATTACACCAACTAGGCACCACTGCCACCATCCTTCTATGCCACCATCACTAGAAAGGTAGAGAGAGAGAGAGAGAAGTGAAGAAAGGCAGAGAGAGACAGAGAGAAGTGAACGGTGATTTAGGGATTTCAAATCGGGGCGGGGCGGGGCGGGGTGGGGTGGGTGTAAATTAATTTTTAGTTTTATAATATTAATTAACAATCCTATTTACCACAAGATTTTTGAATTGTAAAACTTTATCCACTTATTTTTGTATTGTAATCTTGAAAAGAAGGGTTTTGGGTAATTTT